TGATGATGATATTTCTGGGTGATTTTCTTTTGTGTTCTATCCTGTTTGGGGTTCATTGGACTTCCTGAATGGATATATTCTCATCTTTCATCATACCAGGAAAATTCTCTTCCAACAAATCTTCGACAATTTTCTCTGTGGTTTTATTTTTCTCTTCCTGTTCTGGAATTCTGATTACATGTAGGTTATTCCTTTTGATGGCATCCTACATGAACCTTAGGTTTTCTTCATTTTGTTTTGATCTTTTTTTCTGTTTATCCTTTTCCAAAGAAGTGTTCAGGTATTTGCCTACAATCTCCCTAATTCTGTCTTCCATTGATTCAATTCTGCTTCTTTGCCCATTCAATGTCTTATCTATTTCTGAAAATGTAGTATTAATCTTCTGGATTTCTGTGTGTAGATTTTGTATCATTTCTAATTTTTCGTTTATTTTGTCATTTTATTCTTGTATTTTCTTCCAAAATTCTTTTAGGGATTTGTCTGTGTTTTCCTCAATCTGACTCTCAAGTAGTTGAAGATACCTAAATACAATTCTTTTAAATTCCTTATAGGGATTTCCAATGCTGCATCTTCCTCAGGGATGTGTTTTGGGTCTGTATCCTGGTCCCTTGTTTCTCCTGCTTTATCTTGCTTCTTTGTGTGGACTGTGATGCTCTGTTGTCTCCAAGGCATTGTGACATTTTTATGTTTATATAATTGGTGATTGTATGTTAGAGTGACTTGCCCACAATTTTGGTTTTCTTTGTTTTATTTGTATGTTATCTACGCAAGCAGGGTACTGTTCTTCTCTATTCACTAGTTGACAGCACTTATATACTCACCACCTGTCTCCTTTCCTGTTGTCAGCCTCTTGTATGTCCCTGCTGACCTTGGCAAGCAGAGTCTATTCTTAGGTCCCTGGAATCCAAATGAGAATGCTATCACTTTAAAATCCAAAATGGTTGCTACTTGTAAACATTCAAAATGGCTGCGCCCTTGGTCACTTTAAATATCCAAAATGGCTGCTGTTTGTAAATGTTCAAAATGGCTGTGCCCTTGGTTACTGTAAATATCCAACATGACCACTGCTTGTAAACATTCAAAATGGCTGCCACTTATAAACATTCAAAATGGCTGCCCCCTCAATGACTTTAAATGTCCAAAATGGCTGCCACGTGTAAACAATCAAAATGGCTGTGCCCTCTGGACAGCAGAAAGTCCACAGCTCAGGTTGTCTCTCCCTCCTTGCTGTTTTCCTTTGTAGTCATCGGCCACCAGCACAGTCGTCCCTGCAGCTCCTGGTGACCAGGGCTGATCTTTAAGTCAATTCTCAGGTTCCAACACCACTTGGAAATATTCAGGCTGTTGGTCCAGTCAGAGTGGCTGACAGTCAGCAGCTCCAACCATCTTTGTGCTCACTGTTTTTGTTTAGGTTTTTCCACTAGTTGGTGCCTAATCCACTTCTATATTGTTCCTTTCAAAGCTCAGGGATCCAGGATTATCTTCTGTATCTCTGTCAATTGGTTTTTCTTTTCTTTGTTGAAGAGGGTCTGTGTCGCTTGCCTGCCTATTCCTCCATCTTACCAGAAGTCTCCACATGATGTCCTTTTCTAAAAGTTGTCTTGATAATTTGCAAAGTATGCAAGCTAAAGTCTTTCCATCTTTGCTTCTAAGGAGTCATTGAGTCTTCTAAGACTGAGTTATTCATTCTTCTGATAGTATAGTCAATATTCTGAATGCATCTGTTTTCTTTCTTTATCCTCCAGCTTTCTTGTGAATATAAGGTGACTGAAAAGACCATGAGTCTGAAGCAAAGCTTTTCAGAATTTTAAAGAGGTCTTTCATAGCAGATTTGCCCAATGCTGTTTCCATGGGCCTTGATTGTTGATCCGAGTAGAACAAATTCCTTGATGATTTCAATTGTTCTCCATTTATCATGACGTTATTTTTTGGTCCAGTTGTGAGGATTTTAATTTTCCTCACATTCAGGTGTAAGCCATAGTGAAGTCTGTAGTCTTTTACCTTAATCAATAAGTGCTTCAAGTCATCTTCATTTTCAGCAAGTAAGGTTGTATCATCTGCACATCACGTGAGTCTTGTTAATAAGTCTTCCTCCAATCCTGATGTCGCATTCCTCTTTACATAGTCTAGCTTCTCCGATTATTTGTTCAGCATACAGATTGAATAAGTATGGTGAAAGGATACAACCATAGTGCCCACCTTTCCTGATTTTAAACCATGCAGTATCCCCTTTTTCTGTTAGAGCAACAACTTCTTGATCCACATACAAATTTCACATGAGCACATTTAAGGGTTCTAAAACTCCCATGCATCATAATGTTACTCATAATTGAAAATCTTTGCATAGATGATAAAACACAGGAAAACATCTTTCTAGTATTCTCTGCTTTTGGCCAAGAGCTATTGACTTCAACAGTGATAGCCCTCATTCCACGTCCTCTTCTGAATCTGGCTTGAATTCTGGCAGCTCTCTGTGAATGTAAGACTGCAGAATTATCTTCATCAAAATTTTGCCAGCATGTGATATTAATGTTATTGTTAGATAATTTCCTCATTTTACTTGATCACCTTTCTTTGGAATGGGTACAAATATGAATATCTAACACACCTCTTAACTGGTCTCTATGCCAACAGCTCTCTTTTCCTTATGTAATCTACCCTTATGCAGATTGGTAACTTCATCTTACTTCATGATCATGCAATGCCCTTGTCCAGAATCTAGCACATCAGTGCTCATAGGGTGAAGTGCAGTGTCTTCAGTTGGGTAATTGAAGCGCACCTTGTCCTGCTCTATCCTGTATTTCCTCTGTTCTGCTGCAACACGAGGTGCCCACTCAGATAGTTCATCTTCCTGACTTGGTGTCTTTGCCATACCACCCACCATGGATGCTTTTTCTCAAATTTCCCCAGAACTCTTCAAGGTCAAAGAAGTCCAAAGTGACCTTGCCCTCCTCTGGGCTTGTCTTAAAGGACTTCAGGATCCAGGAGGGCAGGCTACCGTTGTCGTTGAGTCAATTCTGATTCATGGACTCCATGTGTGTCAGAGTAGAACTGTGCTCTATAGGGTTTTCAGTGGCTGATTTTTTTGCAAGTAGATTTCCAGGCCTTTCTTTTGAGGTGTCTCTGGGTAGACTCAAACCTCTAACCTTTCAGTTAGCAGCTGAGCATGTTAACATTTGCACTATTCAGGCACTCCAAGAAGATAAGATGTGGGCTTTAAACGTCTTTGGGGCTGTGGGAGGCACATGCCAGCCTCATCTCAGGTGCTCACTAACCACTGGCTATACTCTCTCTAGCCCAGACCTCTCTCCTAAGTTCTAGACCCATCTAGCCAGCTCCTTACCAGTTTTTTTTTTTTTTTTTCTTCTCTGAGTACCTCAAATTCATCAGGACTGTTATTTTACTCCTCATCGTTTTGTTCCTCTGCCTGTGTGCCCTATTTCAGGAAATAACATCCACCCAGCTTTCCAAGCCAGAAATATGAGAATCGTGCTTAATTCCTTTCTCCCCATCACCACCTTCCATCCTTTCAAACATAGAATCCAGTCAATTCTGCTTCCTAAATGTCCTCTACCCCACCACTATCACCAGTCTCCAGTTGCCTTCAGCTGTTTCATGGAGAATAAAGCATACATGATACATGACCTCCCAGACTCAATCTTGCCTTCTCCAATACAACCTTACCTTCTACCATGCTGTAGCCATTGGATCATGACATGTCTTGATTAAAACACTTTGGTGGTTTCCCATTGCTACAGGATGAAGTCAACCCCCTTAATGTCTCACACAAGCCCCAGGAGCTGCTTATACCAATCTTTCCAGCTTCAACCTATACCATCCTCCCACTGGGCTCCTTTTGTTCTAACAACATTGAATGCTTGGTATCTCTAATGTGGTTTTTCTCTCTCCCTTCTGGGCTTTTGAATGGTATTCTTTCCAATAAGAATGCTATTCCCAGTTAAGTGTAGTGGTTAAGCATGTGAATTTTTTAGGTCAGACAATCTGGCTGAGTTCAAATTTTGCCTCAGTTAGTAGTTGTATGACTTTGGGAAAATTCCTTAACCTCTCTGTGCCAAATAGGGGTAATAGCAGTGACAACTTCATAAGATTGTTAGGAGAACTGAATGACTTAATATGTGCACAGTCCTTAGAACAGTACTTTGTTGTTAGATGCTGTCGAGTTGGTTCTGACTCATAGCGACCCTGTGGACAACAGAATGAAACACTGCCTGTTCCTGCTCTAGCCTCACAATCGTCACTATGTTTGAGCCACTGTTACAATCACTGTGCCAATCCATTTCATTGAGGATCTTCATCTTTTTAGTAAGCGTGATGTCCTTCTCCAGGGCCTGATCCCTACTGACAAGATGTCCAAAGTGTTTGAGACAAAGTCTCACTATCCTGCATCTAAGAACATTCAGGTTGTATTTCTTGCAAGGCAGATTTGTTCCTTCTACTGGCAGTCCACGGTATATTCAAAATTCTTCATCAACACCATAATTCAAGTGCATCAATTCTTCTTTGGTCTTCCTTATTCATTGTTCAGCTTTTGTGTGCATATGAGGTGACTGAAAATACCATAGCTTGGGTCAGGTTCACCTTAGTCCTCAAAGTGACATCTTTGCTTTATAAGACTTTAAAAAGGTCTTTTGCAGAAGATTTGCTCAACACAATATCATTTGATTTCTTGACTGCTGCTTCCGTGGGCATTGGTTATGGATACAAGTAAAGTGAAATCCTTGACAACATCAACATTTTCTCTGTTTATCATGATGCTGCTTACTGGCCCAGTTGTGAGGATTTTTTATTTCTTTAGGTTGAGGTGTAATTCATACTGAAGGCTGTAGTCTTTGATCTTCTTCAGTTAATGCTTCAAATCCTCTTGGCTTTCAGCTAGCAAGACTGTATAATCTGCACATAGCAAGTTGTTAAAGAGCCTTCCTCCAATTCTGATGCTGTATTCTTCTTCATAAAGTACAGCTTCTTAGTTTATTTTGCTCAGCATACAGATTGAAGAAGTATAGTGAAAAGATACAGTCTTTTTTAAAAAATACACTTTATTGAAATATAATTTATGTACAAAACTAAAGTGACATGGATCAATGCATTTTTTTCCCAGTGTTCCCTCCCCTCCCCTCCCACCCCTGGTAACTAACAAAGAAAAGATACAGTCTTGATACACAGAACAGTACTTGGCACCTTCTATCCCCACCTGGAAAATACATAACTGGTAGCATGCTTCAAGTCTCATCTTAGTTGTTTCCTTAGTGGCTTTCCCTGTCCCTTAGTTTAGGTCACCCTGTTTTATGCTCCCAAAGCATCATTCATTCATACATTCAGTCAGAAAGTCACTCATTCATTCATTCTTCAAATATTTACTGAGAGCTTTTTGGTGCTGGGGAGTGTATTAGATGCTGGGGATACAATAGGAAGTAAAAACAGGCCTCATGGGGCTTACAATCTAGTGTTTCCTCTTTATAATTCCCATTTCCCCTTGTCAGATATTGTTGTAACACATTCTCGTTGGATGTCTATCTTTCCTTCTGGACATATGCAGGTGGGGCCCAGGTCCCAGCCACTATCCACTAATTAACTCTTAAACGAGTAAATGCATGAAAATAGCAGAATCACAGAATCAGTCCTTTAAGGAAGCTGTCTATCTCCAGGAGCTGTACATCTTTGAATGTAGTGGCCTCTGGGAGGAGTCTAGTATCAGTCTTTGACATCATATAGTCAATGGTTTAAAGATGAGCAAGCGAGCCATCTGCTAAGGCACAGGGGGGATCTGGTCAGGGTGAGTCTATTTTGGTGCATGTGGGGGTAAGGGGGAGGGGGAGGAGAGACCGCTCTAGTGGATTATGAGGCCTTAGTGCATGAGGGACCTAGGGGGGACAACTGCATCATGATCTGAGCCTCTCCTAAAGGGAAGGAAAGGGAGAGTGTGTGGGGGGACTGACTACAAACTTGCCTGGGTCAGATGTGGGGCTGATCCTGTTCTAACACTCACCTTCTGGGAAGAAGAAGGCTGGGAGCCAGTATTTTACAGGAAATCCTTCAAATAAATCACTTTGAGCAGGGTGTTTGGATTTTTGGCTAATTGATGAGCTAGACTGCTTCCAAGCTGTGAGAAATCTCATATACCTGTTGGAAAGCAGACCACAGGTTGGAGTGGTTAACTTCATATGAATGCACACCTTCAGATGATCTTCCCTTCAGTCCTTCCCAGTTGTCCTCCTCATTTCAATCTCACCCCACATACATTTATCTTGTACTTTCTGGAAACCAGACATGGCTTTGGAACTTGTGAGAGAAAAGTGGAGACCACAAAGCATGGACGGAAATGGATTTGGGTAACAAGAAATGTTATTATAGCAGGAATTATGGCTGGCTTTGCTGAATCCTACAGATTTTTGAATTGCTAAGTTCTCCAAAATACATACATATATATATAATCTAAACCAAAATAATTTTGTTGTTGTTGTTGTGTGCCGTGGAGTCGGACCCAACTCATAGCGACCCCTCTTTGGGTTTCCCAGGCAGTATCACTACGGAAGTAGATTGCCTCATCTTCCTTCTGAGGAGTGACTGGTGGGTTTGAACCACCAGCCTTCTGTTTAGCAGTCAAATGCCTTTGGTACTATGCTACCAGAGCTCCTTCAAAATAATTTAGTACTATAAAATATATATTTGTATATATATACATATTTATGTAGACCACCACTTGTCTGTCAATTTGTCATACTGTGGTTACTTGCGTGTTACTGTGATGCTGGAAGCTATGCTAAGCTAAGCTAAGTATGTATGTGGGTCAGATGTCTTTATTTGTTCTATTTATAATACTTACAAGTCAATGGCAAGAGGGACAATATGACATAGACTTTGGAATCAGGTTTCCTGGTTCCAATCTCAATACTTCCATTTTCTAATTGTGAAAGCTTGGGCAAGTAACTTCATCTCTTTGAGCCTCAGTTTCCTCTTCTCTAAAACAGGCATAATGATAATGATAGTACCTACTTCACAGCATGAGGTTACTATGAGAATTAAATGAATTAGCATAAGTAAGCACTGAGAAACTGTGAGGCACCACTGAATGTTACCTACTCTCATGCCTCTTAAGCTTTGGGGTATTATGACTAAAAACACAATTTTAACAATTAGATGTATCTAATTATTATTTTTGTTTATATTTTCCCTGCAAGTATTCTCAATGTAGAACAATAGAAAGAGAAATGTATGGATTCTAGACCTATCTCTGTCATGTAGAGCAGAGTGACTTTGACTCTCAACATCTCAGGTCTCCATTTCTTCATCTTAAACTGAAAAATAAGAATCCCTCTCTTGCTTCATTTATGTGCTACTGTGAGAACCCTAAGAGGCTAAGAAGGTGAAACTATATCATAAACAATTAAGCTCTAAACAAGTGTTTTAAAATAAATTCGCTGCCATCGAGTCGGTTCTGACTCACAGTGACCCCTCCTTGGGTTTCTGAGGTTGTATCTACAGAAGATTGCCCAGTCTACATAGTAAGAAATACAAAGCAGCTTCCATCCATACCGACGATGTATTGCAGTGTACGCCATTTTAGCCCAGGTATTGAAGAAATTCAATCGCTGGATGAGATCATTAACCCAGGAACTCAGGGGCTTACATGACTTGTAGGAGCATTTCTGTTGGGATTTAGAAACAAATGCATTATGTTTTCAGATTTGTCCTTGGGATCTTTAGGAACATATCAGAAACCTTTGGTAACAGATTCCATTGCTAGGGAGAAATAACTTAGCAAGAGTATATAATTTCCCAACTGAAAGCACATAATTAGAAACCTGAAAATTATCACCAAAGCAAAACAGCATTGTCTTAACAATGCTTTGGATAAAATATTTGGAAATTTCCATCCTGGCAGAAGGTTTTCATCACTCTCATCAAACATACTCTTCCTCAACACTCCTCATCCCCTCACCCCCTCAAGACTACTACACCCTGACAATATTGAACTCTACCAAGCCATGTGACCCTAGAAAAGTGCCAAGTTTAAGACATCTTCCTACCCTTTTGCTTCTCAGGAGATGGCTTATCCTTTCCTTAGTTAAGATCCAGGGATGCTCCCTTGTTTACCTATGACAAGGCCAGACACAGATCCTCCAAATTCCCATTCTTTGCCTCATAAATGAATTGAAATGCTTGATTTCACTGATCAATTGGAACAAAATGTTTCTTAACCAACTTTGGTTATGATTCTCTCCTCCCAGGTCCCTGAACTTTGGCCCATTCTTGGCCTGGGCATATTACACCCCACCTCCTGCCCCCAAAGACTCCTCCTGGAGAATAGTCTGACCTCAGGGTAAATATTCTCTGATCTACTATGTGCTCATGTCACCTTGTCATCCCACTTTTCCACACCTGATTCCTTCTGGCCTTGTTTACTCCTCTCCCTTAAGACACTTGCAGATCTTATGGTCCAAGTACGTCCTACTCCATTGCAGTAGTCCCTTTCTCCTCTTGCAATAACTCTTTTGAATAAAGTCTTCATCAAGTCTGGCCTTGTTTTTTTAACAACCTTCATATACCATTAGGTATGAGTGATTTCAACTTCCTGGCTTTCCCTTTGTTCTGGTTACCTAGTGCCGCTCTGACAAGAATATACCACAAATGGGATGGCCTTAACAAACAGGAGTTTATTCTCTTATAGTTCGGGAGGCTAGAAGTCCGAAGTCAAAGTGCCAGGTTCTTGGGGCTGGGTGAAAACTCCTCAATGTTGGGCTTCAGCTCTGCTTCTTGCTCCCAGCCCACTGAGGCTAGAGGCAACTCTTCATTTAGGCAGCTCCTGGCTGCTGAGGCTAACAAGCCCAAGGTTGACAAATAAAATGGCACAGTCCTGATGTTACCAAACCGCATGGCAGGCCATTAATTCAAGTCCATTGTAAGTCCCACAGTCAGCAGAGCATGGCAGGCTGCTGAATGACACGGCTACATGCAGGGTCCAAGTGTGCTGTAAGCTAAAGACCATCCTCTTATATATAGGCTTCCTCTTATATATAGGAAGCAGAGGACATCCCTAAGGCAGCTCAGCTGCTCACAGTAGATTTCACAATGGAGTTGATTACCAGTCTCATCATGGGGAATAGTACATCCAGGTGCCCAACCACTCAACCAGGCCAGGCCAGGTTGACACACAAACTTAACTACCACCCCCTTGTACAAAGTTCTATCTATTCCCATCCACATTTGGCTCTTTCCCTTCTATTTCAGAGTAAAGCTGACCCCTGCCCTTGTGCTCTGCATGCCCTTCTTGGAGTATTTCCTCTCTCTTCTGTGCTTGGTTTACTAATATGCTCTTCCACATCAAATACACAAACCACCCAACACTCGATCCTACTGGTGGCACTCTGGCTTCTTTCTCTTCTTAACAGTCAGGATTCTTCTTCTTTTTTTCTTTTTTCTATCATATGAACCTTTATTATTATATTTTCATCATCAAAACTTAGGATCTTGACCTTTCCTTCTTGCCTTTATATAAGGCCAAAAGAGAGACATTGGCTACTTTGACAACCTTAAAATGGACTCCTGGAATGTCTCCAACAGCATGACCTTTGTGACCAAATCCAGCAACCAGAACTTCATCATTTTCCTCTGTAAAATTCAAGCAACCATCGTTGGGTACAAAGGCTGTGATTTTCTTGCCGTTCTTGATCAGCTGGACTCTGACACACTTCCTAATGGCAGAATTTGGCTGTTTGGCTCCAACCCTCACTTTTTCCAACACAATTCCCTTCACATGGGAAGCATCTCCAAAAGGGTTGGCCTTCAGAGCTGTGCCCAAATGGGCTTTTTTTTTTTATTGTTTATTATGCCACTTCTGGTCCCTTCGGTGACTACAGAATTTCCTGGCAGTATGAAGACCTCTACACTTGCCTAAAATTAAAAAAATCCCTTTGGTTCCTTTGCAAAAAACATTTTATGGAGTCATAAATTACATCTTCTATAATACTAGCTTCTTCTGTGTAAATCCTTGAAACCTACGGGCTCTTGCCGCACATCACGGCCTACAAGGCAAACCTCAGCTCCTCTGAATCAACCAATAAACGTTAGGAAAGACTACAGGCGCTCCAATGGTACACTTCTCCAAAGGAGCTTCAACATCCACGCTCAGATGTATGTCCTTGCGCCCCTCCAAAGGAAAGGACGAGTGTTCGGTGGCCTCCGTGCCGCATGGGCTCCTTCTGCGTCTGGCCATATGCATGCAGATACAGTACTCTTTGAGCCCTCTCTCGCCAGTCCTACCCACCGTGTCCCCCTCTCACCCCCTCTCATGCTACACTCCCATCTCCCCACCCCCAAGACCCTGGGTCCACTTGCAGGCCCCTCAGCCAGGCTATTGCCATCTCTCACCTATGCTGGCGATAACAGTCAGGCTTCTTGAAGTTCTTTGGTTTCTGTCTCCTGCCATTGACACCTAAACCTATTATCATCTGGTGTCTGTTCCCAGGAATTCATTAGAATTTCATTAGCAAATTTCTACTTTTCATATTCAGTGACACTCTTCTCCACTATTGTCTTATTTGTATTCTCTGCCACTTTGATCAAGTTGATTAAATACCTACTTCTCTCTAAAATTATGTTGCCTTGGCTTCTGTTATCACACTCTGTCCTACCTTTCTCTCTAATTCTGTAATTTTTTAAGGTCTCACTCATGGGGTCCTTTTCTTCTCCTCTATCTATCTCATGTGGACTTCCATGGACTGTAGAATGAAGGTACCTTTTCCCAGAGAGTCTTTGTGATTGTTTTGTGCACTTTACACAAAATTTGAGCTGCAAATTAAAGAGGGCCAATGGTAGTTTAAATCACTTGGGAGCAGGTTTTCTTTTTTTAACTTCCTCTCATGCCTTGCTCTTTTTTGTGTACAGGAAACTTTCTCTTGTAGACAGATGCCTGTAGGTTGAAGGTTGTGCAATTTACATGTTTCACTCAGTGAGAGGGTGTAATCCTTTGGGATGTGTATGTTATTTATCAGACACCTCCCTCTGGGTGGGTTTTGGGATAGGCTGTCAAAATTTGGGCATGAATCCACCAGTAAAAGCCATGAGGGTGTTTACTGGCACTCATCATGAGTATTACAGACTCCTGTGACAGGATAAGTTGGTTGTGCAACAGGCCAGACCAATAGGCTGCATGCCACTCACAAGCAAACACTTGTGCAACAAAGGTACACATTAGTCTAAGCAAAACATTGTCCAAATTCCACAGCATTCTTCTCTAGATTTTTATGACTCAGAGAAAACCAAAAATAGTGTGCATGTTTGGGTGAGAATCATCAAATCCTGCAAAAAAAAAAAAAAAAAAAGTAATGCCAATTCTCATGGAGATGTAAAAACTCTAGACCTGTTTTGTGAAATTCACAGGAGGGTGTGCAGCTTCTAGTTAGTGTCACCTGACTGAAGACATTTTTTAAAAAATCAGTAGCCACTTCAAAATACTTTTCAATTAGAGAGACTAGTATATTTTAAAATAAGAGACTAGGTCTCTAGTCAGCAAAATAAATTAGATTCAGAAAAAATGAAATGAGGTTTCACATGGTTGTTTCAGAGGAATCCAAGAAGATTGGCTCTCTGCTAAGAGTTTTATTTGATTCTGGGAAATTATTCCTCACATTCTTGATAAATTGGATTTCACCCTTACCAGGATGCTGTTATGGGAGTCATGTTCAAAAACACTATACGCTGAATATATGTGAAGTAATTTAAAATCTCAGTGATTACAGTGGGAGAATGTAGCCTTTCTATTTCAGTTTGTTTTGAGAAGTTTTCCTATAATCTACAATGCTGCTGTATCTGAGTTTCTGTATCAAAAGGAAGGCCCTGGCTAGTGTTTTCTATGGGCTGTCTAAAATTCCTACCTTTTTTCTTTTTTTATTCTGAGAAACTTTGACATAAATTAGTCTATTTGAAAAGTGCACTGAAAAAGAATAAATTATTTTAGATCAGAATAACTAGACTTTAAAGAAAAGAGACAAATTATTCTAAATTGCTTCCCTAAAGGATCCTATAAAACATGGTAAAGACCAAGTTATGAAAATATGATAATTTCCTACCTCCAAATATTTACTGAATTTGATTACCATATTTCTTCAAAAGAACTTACTCTGATTGGTTCAATGGTAAATAAATACTTACATAAATTGAATAGTCTTAATAGGCCCAGTATCGTTGTTGTTATGTGCCATCAAGTTGGACCCAACTCATAGCGACCCCTCCTTGGGTTTACAAGGTGGTATCTCTATGGAGGGAGCTCTGGTAGCATAGCACCTAAGGCACTTGACTGTTAACCAGAAGGCTGGTGGTTCAAACCCACCAGCCACTCCTCGGAAGGAAGGTTGGGCAATCTACTTCCGCAGTGATACCACCTCGGCAACCCAAGGAGGGGTTGCTATGAGTTGGGTCTGACTTGATGGCAAATAACAACAACAACAACAACAACATCTCTATGGAAGTAGATTGCCCAACCTTCCTTCCAAGGTGTGGCTAGTTAGCAGTAACATGCCTTAAGCACTATGCTACCAGAGCTCCTAGTCCCAGTATTAATGAAAATGAATTTGTTCTAATGATAACTTTATGCTTATGTTAACCCTGCAAACAAAATGTTTCTAAATAACTTAAGCTAGATACTATA